GAGGAAACAGGGCGGAGAGGGGCGGGCATGGACGGGAATTAGTCTTGTCCTGCCCGTTGGAGCCTGTTTCTTGTTGCGTGGGCTATGTTTATCGAGCAAGTGCGGGGGTTTCCTTGGCGAAAGCTGTGGGGCCGGCGTTGGTTCGGATATGACCAGTGGCAGATGGTGACTTAAACATATCGTCTCTTGGCGCGCACACGATTACCCATGTCGTTGGCACAGTATTTATAGTATACGAGAGGAGAGGGGGGGGGCTTTCGGCCTGTCTGATTCCAAGTAGTCCCATGCCCGTGCCGGTACGATGAAATACACTAGTAGGGAAATCACAACGGGACCAAGCCGGTGGGCATGTGTCGTTGTCCGTCCAACCATGGGTAGGTAGGTTATCTGGGAACCTTTAGTACTTTGGGTGCGATGCAAGGGGCCTGGCGATCCCTTCCTCGGTGCTAGAGGACAAGCAGTATTCGTTGTCGCAGTAGAATGACGCTGCCTCTCGTCATCGGGCGAGGTCCTGAAACTTCGAAAGTACATCCAACACGGAACCCATGAAAACCATCGTTGTCGTACCTCCGTGAGCGACGGCTCTTCGGTAGGGGGGTGCGACGGACGGCGCACGGTAGACGGGTGGAAACAGTTTTTGTTTCCCTTCGTGGGGCTCGAGCGTGTTTTTTCTGGCTGTGGTAAGCTTATAGGTGGTCTCTACTGTATGCTATTTAGCTTATGAGTCTCTACTGTATGTTAGAGTACAATTTTTTGCCGTGCATTGTAACAGTGACTCACGTCGGAGTCGTCGAGCACCTACTATGTACGCTGTGAGCTCTACTTTTTCTTTTTTTGGTTCTCGTATACGTGTCGTGACGGCAAGACACCGTGCCGCGGTTGTATTATGGTAATAGATCCAAAGTGCTTCAACGTACTTTTATACTCGGTGGTTCAGCTTGATACCCCCCACTGCGTGTAAGCGTTACCGGCGGGCATCCCTTGACCAAACCAGTAGCAGGAGGTTCGACACGGTTATCCATCCTTGTTTCGCGAAAATGGCGGGGGGGGGGAGAGGCGCGAGCGGGGGGCAGGCGTTTACGCCCCAACGCACGAAATACTTAACGGTGAAGTTTACGCGCGACGCATTCGTCTTGAGTATGTCAAGTGTTTGACACAACACACACCTTTTCGAGGAAATGGGCGTATGATGACCTCGGTCTGTGGGCTTCTCTGGCACATTCCAAACAAGGATACAATCAATCGTTAGCGGTTGAAATATGCCTGATACAACGCGTTTCGTTGTGCCTCTTTGTTAACGCCCCGCCGCCCCCCCCTGTGTTTGCCATCGGGGTTGGGTTTTCGTCGCTTGGCAGCGATGTTGCAAAACATGCCGATCACTTCGTGAGCTTCGCATCCAGGTTACCGCTTTTTTTGGCTTTTTTTTTTGTTTTGCGGTAACCATGAATGGTGGTCGAGTAGATTGTGTTGTGCGGGGTCGAGAACCCTCACACTTCCCGCAAAGACGATAATCGCACGTTGTGTTAAATTGGTCAAGCACCCTCGAGGCAGTTACAAAGTGCTTACAACTGTTTCTACAAGTGAAAAAACCAGAAAATAAATTTCGTCGTACGCAGCTGTCATCCGTACGCAAGGAAGTAAGCACAAGATGCCGCGCGAACACCTCTAGCAGGATGCAGCGCACCCTTCATGCGACTCGCCGAATACCTCACGGCGCTTCGCGCTTGGTAATGTGAGAGCCTGGTCCGGTGAGAACCCGGCGTGCTCCGTCCCGGCTTTGTAGGGATGCGAGGTCAATGGTCCAATGACTACGGCATGCACGACTATGAATACCCCCCCTCCCTTTTCCCCCGATATTTTTTTTTGCGGTAAATCTCAGGTGATTTCGTACTCACGACATCGGTATCGCATCTTTGGCGAGACGATCGACATGGCCATCGGAAACTGCCTGGACAAATTCGCCAGGTTTGTGCGTGTTCATGTGTTCCGATCGCTCAGCAGGAAGGCGTCGTCCTTTCTTTTCGTCTCGTCTCCTTCCCTCGGCCCCCCGCCCGTCCCCCCTCCTCCCCATCTCTCTCTTGATGATTTTTCTTTAAATAACCGTCCAAGGGCCTCTCCTTCCGTCTACAGTAGCCTACCCCCGCGAGCGATTCCTACCAGAACTTTCTTGATCCCCACATGACCCTTCCTTGACCAAAGTCGCAGCCGTGTTTGCCCCCCCCCCCTCCCACTGACCATAGACTAGGAAGACATTTTTGATCCACCTTTGGCGAAGTAGGAAGGAACGATTGGCCATCGGTGATCGGTCCTGTGGGAACAATGCTCCGTCCTCTCGAGGACGCGTGGTTCAATGGTCTAACCGCTAAGGCATGAAAAACATAAGAGTACGCCCCCCTCCCACTCCCACTGACCATGGTGCCCTTACCCCTTATGCCCTCATCTCCACCGTATTTGCTTAGCGCTGTGTGTGTGTTGCACTGCTCCGATCGATGTACCCTTTGGTCGGAGTACGGGCACCCTGCCCCCAACATACAGGCAGGGGAAGGGGTCACGTGTTGTGTTTGGTATACCGTAGGTGACGTACGATATCACACCCCTTGACCGATTTTGAAGGCTCGATATCTCCGCAGCACAAAGAGAGGCGGTGCCGAAAACGGCCGCGCTGGAGCCGTCTCGTGGAGAGTTTTTCCCAACAACGCGCACCGTTTTGTTTGCGCATGCTCCTGGTCGTGGGAGTAATCGAGCTTTCATGATCGGTCCAGGGGGTGTTGTGGTATGTTATGCGCCTCACGGTATTCTGGACGCCAGTCTACACCTTTCAGCGTGTGCTTGATGCACCGGCCATGGGCCCCACACAGAAAGGGCAATAAATGTGCGAAGAAAACCCGATGTTTCTGCACACGTGCACGCCGTGGACGAAAAGACGAGAGGCGTCTGTCTTCCGTGGCGGGTTGTCCTCCTACCCTGTCTCTTTGGGTCTATACCCGAACTCTGAGTCTCCCCTCTCTTAGGAAGCCCTGCCCTTTCTTGTTACATACGGAGTACCTTAAATACAGCCCTGAATGCTGTACCCGATCTCGGGGCGGCGCCTGCTGGTCTCATTTCTCTTTAGCTGTACCCGTTTTTGACGGCTGGACTGCCCTCCGCTGAAGGGGTATAGCCTTTTAACTCTGTCTGTCTGCCGGCTGCCTCTGGCTGTTTTGTCTATCTCTCTGTCCGTCTGTCTGTCTGTCTGTCTGTCTGTCTGTCTGTCTGTCTGTCTGTCTGTCTGTCTGTCTGTCTGTCTGTCTGTCTGTCTGTCTGTCTGTCTGTCTGTCTGTTTGTCTGTTTGTCTGTCTGTCTGTCTGTCTGTCTGTTTGTTTCCCTCTCCCGCTCTCTCCCTCTCTTTTCTCCCTCTCCCTCTCCATCTCCCTCTCCCTCTCTCCCTCTTCACCTGCGCCGCCCGGTTGCGGTGGGGTCTCAGAGTTCTGGGTCTGTCGAACGACCCTTCTCCCGGCTACAACATCGAGCAGCTCGCCAAGAAGGGCACCAAGTTTGTCGACCTGCCCTACGGTGTCAAGGTGCTGACTCATTGTTGCTGTTGCTGTTGCTGTTGCTGTTGTCGTTGTTGATGTTGTTGTTGTTGTTGTTGTTGTTGTTGTTGTTGTTGTTGTTGTTGCTGCTGCTGCCGCTGCTTACTGTTGGTACTGTTGTTGATGTTGTGGAGTGAACGGGTCAAGAGCCATTGACTGGTGTGTCACTTGTCACCTAACCCCCATGGCGCAGACATCGATCGATGAAGACTTGAATGTCACTGGTCTTCCGAGACCCATTTCGCAGACAGCGATAGACACTTCCCGTCACAAGCGCGAGATTTTGTCGTTGAGCTTAACAGAGCCAGGTCTGAGCTGACCGGCAGGGAGTTGCGCCTCGGCGTGATAGTAAAAAAGAGCGATAATGGTTGGCTATTTGCCGCCCGGCAGCACAAGCTCACTCCCAGGAGCATGCAAGACACGAGAGAATCGAAGCGATATTATAGTAGGATGATAGATACAAAGTGGTGACACGATCAACGTTTTTAACCAGCGTTGGGTACCAGCGGACGGATCAAGTGCAAACACCGACCGACAGATACATACACCCTCAAAGACCGGCGACCGAAAGAAAACGATCAAGGTTTTTACTGATGGATGATACTAATGTACCCTGCGCCGCCCTTTCCCGTGGCAACAACAACAACAACAGGGAATGGACGTGTCCTTCACGGGCATCCTCTCCCACGTGGAAGGCCTAGTCAAGGGCGGGATGGAGTCCGGCACGTGCACGGCTGCCGACCTGTGCTTCTCGCTGCAGGTGCGAACAGAAAAGGGGTCTGCTTGTTGTTGCATCTACATCACGGAGCTGCTACAAGAAGAAAACAAGGACCTCTCCTTCGAAATAAATGCCGTAGGATGGGTATTTGCGTCTACCGACGACACGGTTTCCACCAAAAGCACGTGAGCACCTCTCCTCTCCTTCCAAAACGTACCATACAGAATAGACAGACATGGGGTATTTGAACAAGTTCCTGGACGCCGTGGACGCGTTACCGTCGTTCTTACGCCAGAGTCTTCCTGAAATGGCACATGGACACATGAAACAAGTTTCTGTTGCGCACCATATATATATGTATGTGCACGCAATTGCCGCGAGGACACGGAGCGCGCGATCGAGAGTGATCACGGACACATCAAACAAGAAACTGCATATACGTACTGCGTGGTTGTAGGGAAACACCGGATTCTTACGGTAGGCAGATATAGTAGCACATGGATATTGTAATAACCTTGCGATTGAAAGCGCCCAACAACCGTTTCGATTGGAAGGTCCTCCCCTTCCCAATCCCCCACAGCAATCTACGCGCCTTTTTGTGCCGCGAGACCTTTTTTTGGCGATGGCGGCGGAGATGGACAGGGGCAGAACCGCGTCGCGCGCAATTCAGAACATGTTCCGTGCCCCCCACCCCCTCCTTTTCACCCGCGCGCCTATTTTACCCGTGTTCCCATCCTCACCGACCCCCCTACCCCTTCTACAAGCCCATGTCTCGAAAGGGATGCGTGTTCAATAGTGCCAAGCAAGCACTTGTGCCAAGCAAGCACAATCCCGGCATGTCGCTCCTCCGTTCCGGCATTGATTGCTGTAGGGACGCGAGATCGAAAATCTCAATGACTACGGCATGCGTTTACATGAATACCCGCCCCCCCCAAAAAAAATTGCGTGCCTCTCGAGGACGCCTCATCAATGGTCTAACGACCAGGGCAAACGTTTACACGAGTACACCCCCCTCCCCCAAACACTGCTCGTGCCTGCAGGAAACCCTGTTCGCGATGCTGGTGGAGATAACAGAGAGGGCTATGGCGCACTGCGGGAAGAACACGGTGCTGATAGTCGGGGGCGTGGGATGCAACCGGCGGCTGCAGGAGATGATGGGGCTCATGGCGGCGGAGCGCGGCGGCCGTGTGTGTGCGATGGACCACAGGTATGTATGTAGGTGAAGGAGAACAGCACGGGGCACTGCTACTGCCTGCAGTTGTCGTGGTCGTGTTGTGGGTTGCTTGATGTTTTCGTTTGCGATAAAATGCCGTTCGGTGTGGTTGTTGCTGTTGTTGTTGTTGTTGTTGTTGTTGCTGCTGTTGCTGCTGCTGCTGGTGTTTGTTGGTGTCGTTGTCGTTGCCATGGATAAGGTGTTCCGCGTGTGCCTCTCTTGCGTTCATTTGTTCTTTCTTTTATGCATGCATACATAGCCCTGCCGACGTTCCGGCTAGACACGTTTTAATGAAAGGTTTTGGCCACTCGCCGCCACCGCCACCCCTCCCTCCAACCGCAAGCAGTGCCAAATTCTTGTTTCCGGCCAACCGTCCGTCCGTGCATTTCAGTTCGCCATGGCGTTATTATTCCTGGAGGCATATACAGATAGTGCCCGCTTTGAAAAACTTGCTTGGTAGTTGTACGAACTTCTCGCTCAACATCTATCTATCATTCCCACCTATTACAAGTATATAGAGGGAACTTGAACATCATTTATTGTGAGCCCGGTTAAGCACCCCTCTTACACAAAAACCCTCTACATATATATATATATCTGTAAGAGGACGTAAGAACCCTAGCCTCAGCCTCGACCAAGACTGGATTGATTAAATGGGCGCTATCTGTCTGTACCTAGCCTTGCTTGCCTCTCACACACACACACCCTTGACAACGACAACTAGTTGGGGAGTGAAATCAAATGACGACGTTGTTATTATTTGGTTGTCTTTCTATCTTTCCTCACAGATTTTTCTCCCGTCGAAAACGATGCTGCTGCTGCTGCTGCTGCTGCTGCTGCTGCTGTTTGTCGCCTATGCCACCGCTGTCAGGTACTGCATAGACAACGGCGCCATGATCGCCCAGGCGGGGGTGTTCCAGTACATGCACGGAGGCGGCACCGAGCTAGAGGACACCACGTGCACCCAGAGGTTTCGCACGGATGCAGTGGACGTGGCGTGGAGGCCACCTTGATTAACCCTTCAACCCTTCCCTCACCTCTTGTCTTTTTTTGTTCTCATGTAGGCACGATGGATGGAAGGGGGGGGGGGGGGGGCATGATGGAATGCTAAAGGAGAGTAAGTGATGTTCAGCATGATTATTGATTGATGATCCACCTGCTTTTTTGTGGACATGATCACATAAATTCGGTGGGGCCCGGCAGAACGGGAGGCATGCTACGTAAACAAACTCGGTGCGTGCTCTCGTTTCTAGGAGGAGAGGCCTGCCTGTGGCCAAAGTGTTTTTGGGGGAGTATGTATCATAGACGACGAGAGAGTGGGTTGCCCACCAAGCCCCCTTTCCCCTGCAAAGAAAATGGGCCTTCTATGATACTGTACAACGAAGTCTCGCCTCGCGAGGTCGGTCATCATTTTTCTGCCGCGTACATGTGTGGTCGCGGCATGGAGGGAGGAGGTAGATTTATCCAGGCCCGAAAGTGGGCAAAGAGTGCGTTCGTTCGTATCATTTCGGACGAACACAGCTTGCGCAGGAACTGACTACAGACCGAGATTAGGTTCACGTGCACCCCGGGGACCGGGCCCGGACCACGATGTAGTCTGTCTCGAAGTTGTGATGGTGTAAGCACGACCCCCTGGACCCTTTAGATAATTTGTGAGTGGATTGGGGAACGCCTTCTGCCGCGTCTTGTGCACAATGGTGCCGTGATGCAAAAATCTGAAGTCTATGGAACCGTACCATACAAATAATGTGTACTACATACAACCGTGTGGCCTTGTACCCCATGGACGTTGTGTACCATTCATGAGGGCTGGTGCATCATCATGCCTTCACAAGCTCGTGTTACGATTGAATACGTACGCTGCTGGACACGGCTCGACGTGACGGATTTGAAGCTGGGAACAGGAACAAACACGTAGGAAGCCAGCAGCTAAGCGCATGTTGTGCGCGCGTCGAGATCATGCTAACGCACGCAAATCGTGCGTGCGCGGTGCATAATCCGCATCCTCACACCAACGAGTGTTGAGAATGTCAACGCTGCCAAACACGGCTCGACGTGTCGGGACTTTGCGTGAGGGAAGTCAACATGCCGTCTGCACGGTCCATGTGTGCCGTCACCCCAGCTGTGAAAATTTGGAGGCTACAAGATACACAACTACATCTCAGGTGCAGTGAGAAAAATCTCTTCTTTTTCGTCAAAAGTCACAGATGCGAAGCCAACAAATAGATGGAAGCCGCTTGCAGTCGCAAAGAACAACCTCCAGAACCTCCATTTTAAAACATGTCGGACACATAATAACGTCTAATCTAAAAATCCTAACTCAGTGTCAAGGATCGTTTTTCCTACAAAAATGGCTACGCCAAAAAAAACTTCATCATGTGCTCCCTCCACACCTCTTCCATCTACAAAAACTCTAATTCCGTTCCCACAGATTCGACAGCCCCTTCCGTACGCTCAGAAAAACAAGACCCCGAGGTTGGCGACTGAGAACAATCACCAATTAACGAGTGGCAAAACTTCAATATTAAGAGGCCATGCGGCAAGGACGGGGGGCCAAAACGGTCGAAAAACGCAGGTTCCAGGAACAAAAATTCTTACGGACAAGACAGGTTTACAGACACCAGGGCTGGCTTACGCGTTCCTAAACTGCAACAACGCGTAAAGTAAAACGCAAGGTTTTTAGTTGAAGGTGTACGAGGCACCGACGAGGTCGTTGATCACGTAGGGCTTGTTGTTGAGCTCCTCGTGCACCATGAGGGCGAGGATGCCCATCTGCGCGGCGCGGCCGTTGTTGAGCTCGATCGCGCGCTTCGACTCCTGGGTCTCTTCCGACATGGCGTCCCACGAGGAGCCGAAGGGGTTGCCGCCGAGGGTGAAGTCACCGGGGAAGGAGCCCTCCACGTTCTTCATCACAGCCAGTTCGAGGAAGCCGATGAACGCGAAGATCTGGGCGAGGCCCGCCGGGGGGATCTTGGAGAGGGCGGCCACACCGTTGGGCATGTCGGCGAAGGACAGGTTGGCCGAGTTCGAGAGCATGCCGGGGAGCCGGGTGTTCTGCTGCGTCAGGTGGCCGGCGATGGCGAGCATAGCAATGCGTCCGTGCTTCACCTCCACGTAGCGGAGGCGCTCGAACCGCTCCTGGTCAGCGTCGGCCAGGAGGCCGAGCGGGTCCCAGAACCCGAGAGGGGGCTGCGCGCCGATCTCCGACTCGAACGACATCTTCATGGCCGAGGAGGACTTGGCCTGGGTGGCCACGGCGGCACCGTTGAAGGCGCTGTGTTTCAAGAGGGGGGGGGCAGGGGGGAGGCGGGAAAGTTAGCCATGCCATGGACTTAAACGTATTGTTTCATTCATGACTAAGGTTTACCCCACTAAAAGTATCATGAATGCACACAAAATATTTGTTTTGATCAGTATGATGGACCCATCGAATCCATCTGCCCCAAAACAATCGAGGTCGTCTCCATGCATGCCCAGATCATAAAAAATACGCTAGAGTTGGCCAGGATAGGATTTCTTCGGTGTCTTCTCCCATTCATACGGGGCGAGACACATTCGTAAGGGTGCCGTAGATGTGGTCCAAGCTGCTGTAGCCGTGGAAGCGCGACAACAGACCATGACATTACGCATGGGTGCACCAACAAGACACACTTGTTGATGTTGAGATCTATTGGACCAAGGCAAAAAAAAAATTAGCGGTATGCGGGCGACGTCACACGTGTCATCGGATCCTTGCCGCAACTCCCGACCATGCATGAGCATGCGGCGGTGCGACAACATACCGAAACAGCGCGTCATGCGCCTCGCTACACGGCTGTCACAACACTGATGTCTCCGGGCTGCGAGCCTTCCAGGCCTACACTCGCTGCTACACAGCACGCGACGCGCTAGCAGAACAACGTTGGTGTGTTGAGTTGAGCCTTGAGGATTTTGGGTGCCTGGGAAGGAGCGTCTAGAAAGAGAAGACCCTCTTTTTTTCGCCACATTATATTCTTCAGCAATGGGTCTTCCGGAGCTACCGCACGTGTCTGGCCAACACTGCTGGGCACGCTCCTGTCTACTGCTGTGGTCGTTAGTCGGTACCGCTTCGCGTTCATCTCGATCAAGAGGAGTGCAACAATCCAACATGAACACGGCAGCTGGAGACTTGCTTTTCGGCGAGAGGGTGGAAAAAACATCGTTTGCCCAAAAGATCGTACGTCAAGCTGGTCGACAGGAGGAATCGCCAAGTTTGCTGAAGGCGGGAGCAGGTAAAGGAACAACGTGGAGCAGCTCTCCCTCTGGATGAGCTTCACGATCTACCGTTCCTGTCCCATCTCAGACGGGACCAAGACCATGGCTACCCTGGGCACACATGATTTTGATGCCTGAAAAAACAGACCGACAAGCTCTTATGAAGGAATACAATCTTGAAGAACAAACCAGACTGCACGATGGATAGCCGTACGTCACTGACCTGGGGGCCACGAAGGCGTTGGCCGAGGCGGCGCAAGCGAGAGCCATGCAGGCGGTCTTCATCTTTCAAGTGTGGTGTTGGGGTAGAAGAAGGAAGAGGATGTGTAAGAGAGGCAGGGAGCGGAATGACGAGGATGGGGGAGGGAAAGGCGGCGGGAGATAAAGCGCGAAAAGAGGGAGTTCAAAAACACGCTTTAGAAGGGGATCGGGAAAATACCGACGGCAAGATATGTGGGTCAAGCTGGGACGGGACGACGCCCCTCGAAAGAGGAACACATCCCTGGAAAGTCTAGATAGACACGTTAGGACTCACTCACCACCACCACCACCCAACTCTAAAGATGAAGACTGCTTGCTTGGCTATGTGCGCTGCTGGAGCGCAGGCTTTCGTGGCACCCAGGTTTGTCCAGGAACTTTTTGTTTTGGGAGCAGATGAGTTGTTTTGGCCTCTCGCCCTCTTTGGCCGTCTCGTGCATGTTGCAGCTGAAGTCGCGTTTTGTTTGCCGCAGGAAGTGGCCCACGCTTGAGGTCGTGTGCCCACGTTGTGTGCTCGGTCCTTGCCCGAAGTGGAAAACCTCGTACATGCCTAGAGATTGGCTTAAAGCTGGGCAGTCTGTCTCGATAGACACCACATGCTAGTGGCGGCTCTCATGACCCTGCGGCGTTTGTACTTAACAATGTGCACGCGTCCGCGCTCGCAAGGGTATATTGTTACGCATGCACCCAATCTCGTTCATGTTTGTCCCGTGAGTCGGCAGCAGTCAGCATTGTCGCAAGCTCGAGGCTTCTCCAACGAACATCTTCTTTGAGCTCTGATGCTATCCTTTGTTGGAGTCAATTGCTGACTGTACCCTGGGACGACCTGCGTCGTGCTGGTTGTTCGTACAAACCCCAGCTCCACTGCGTGACCCTCTCTTGTTTTTTCGTTTTTTCTCCTCTTCCTGTGAACTCATTCACATGGCTTGGTGTAAGCAACTGGATTAGCAATTTTGCTACGATAAAGGAGACATCCCTTCTGGTTTGCTCGGTACATCTAGTTCGGTCTGTACGTTGCTCGCTACAGCCGATCTATCCACGGCTGGTGTCAGGACAAGCACGCTGTCAGCAGTTTGGTGTTTACGTGCTGGCACATGTAGTGTGGCCTTTGAGCTGCGGTAGCCAGGAATCTACGGAGACCGGCGCCGTTTTCTCTGTTGTTCAACAAGCCCACAACCTCTGACAACCACGTACAAACACGATAGGTACTGCAGTAGCACGAGGCAGCTGTGCCCGCCACCTAGCAGCGTGGACTCCAGGGCACCCATCCTGAATGGGTCGCCACTTGCGCCACTATCTACAAGTATTACACGCAGCTGCTTGCTGTCCAGGCGACGTTCCCAATGGACGGTCTGCAGCAGTCGCCCCCCGCCTACCCGCTCATTCGCCGCAGCAGGCCAGCTCGGTTTTATGTTCACAACAACTCCAGCTGTCGTATATGCCAGGCTTGCACTCCCTCACACCGAGTGCCTGGACACAGGATGTTCCTCCAAGCACAGCCCGAAACCAGCTTAGGAGCACCAAGTGCTGCCTGCCTGCCACGCGCGATTATAGTGTGTCTTGGCGCAAACTTGACGTGATTTTCCGCCCGTCGACAACCAAACTGCTCCGTTCTTGCAGTGGTCGCAGAACTGTGCGGAGTACTAACAAAGCTACCGCCTGTTTTTGGTCGTCGACGGTGTGCTGGCAGCACGAAAAACCAACTCTATGAGAACCCTACTGATGCTCTTTTACATGTAAACACATGTACACGCGCATGCGTTCGTATATACAAGCACCAATCCCGACATCCGAAGCACCACCACCGTACATAGACACGTTGGGACCCAGTTGTGTAGATGGTCAACGCAACGCAAGCCTCGCTCCGAGCAGGACGAATTGAAAGCTTAAAGAGTTCAGGACCCTTTGTTTGTATCGCCAGGGCAGTCGCAGCAGCACCTTGTTTTCGGCCGTCCTGGCCCAACGAAAGCGATCCGGTGATTGTCTGTTTTTGAGTTTGCTGGGTACCCCGCCCGCACGGCCACTTTGTGTTGACAGGGGGGCCGCGACAGCCCTCTTGCTTGCGATTGCAGCGAGGCACGCCTTCGCCTTCCAGATGGGTTGCGGCAGAGGAGGCCTAGACCATTGGGGTTGTAGAGCCGATGGATTCGGTGCTGGGTGCCGTGTCTCGTTTTTCAATACTACCACCTACGAAGTATGGCTCGATTCGAGTGGTACTGTTTGGCCTGTCCTCGATCAACCGAGGACGCGAAAACACACCCGACCCCAGTCTTGCTTTTTTTGTAGGCTCAGTGCCTTTGCTAGTATAGAAAGTGCAGAAACAGCATGATGATACCTGGAGACAGCAGTATCCGCATCAGCGTCCTTCACAACAATCCCGGGATGACCGAATCGCGATCTTCCGCCGTCAAATCACACGGGTCTCAGCTGTTGGTTGTGGAGTATCTGTCTTCTGTTGCACGCAATCAAGAGTATATTTCCCCTTGCGTAACTGCCGTGACCGCAAACGCATGAAAGACATGAAGAAAGTCGCTTGTGGTTGCTCGTGTACAGGACACCACAAGGGCACGGAGGTGGCAATAGCATGCCCTATCTTCCCAGTACCCTCGCTCGTTGCGGTTGCATCAAACATTCTCTGTTTCCCTACATCGTACTTCGCATTTTTGGTTTGCCCTCTCTCAAAAACTCCGGTTGCAGACGAGTGGCGAGCTGCATGTTTGCGTTCTTTGAAGGGATGTTCTTTCGCGTTATGTACGTTAAGCTGGCCGAAGCAGAGGCTGCCTCATCCTTTGCAATACTCATCAGTACCCACGTGTGCACCCTTCAAAGTTTTTTTTCGTCTTTAGAGCGCGGGTTGAAAGCCAAAGGCGCCGCTTCTCGTAGAGCTCTCGACTGAAGAGATACCAAGCCGTTGGACACGCCCGTGATACAACTGTTAGGTGGTTCATTCGTTCTTATGCTGACGGTGCTTTTCTTAAGGTTCTCAAACAAAAAACCACGAGACGGTAATACCGAAAAGCCCCCTACCAAGAAACCGACGAAATGCGGCAATGAGTAATTGATGCGGCCTAATTCCATTACCGCATTTCTTCTGTCTCGTAAGTCTTGTGAATTTTCTTGCTTCATAACCTTCATGAAAGCGCCGTCGTTTTTTCACGGGAAATGCGGCAAACCGGCGTGTCGCAAGCGTGCCAGTCGGCCCGGTTTGACAACCAGTCATAGAGAGCTCCCTGTTGTGGTCCCTTCGAGTAACGAAGCTTGATAGATTTTCATGTTTTCTCTCGGTCGCAGTTTTTTGCCCGGGTTGCAAGCAGCGAAGGCTTTTTTTCAGGCGGGAGTGCTGCTGCAACAAAGTAGTGCCGCCGTTCCTATAGCAGCAAGGCTGGGGCCCAGCCAAGAAAGCCTTTGCTGCGTGCAACCCGGTCACAAAAACTGCCTCAGAGCATTATTGCCGGAAAAGGCCGCGGCTTGAATGTCTGTGTGGCGGCAGCAGCCTCGATTCGGCGCTGGTACTGACCTTGTGGCATCTGCCGTCGAACTCTCACCCTGCACACGACCTTTTTATCTTCTTGATGAATATTCATTGGAACATGTTCGTTTGTGCGTCCGACGGTGGGTTAGCATAGACGAACCGACCGGTCGATTTTAGCGGTTCCGCTGATTGTCGATCAATCCCTGACGATGCGGCCGTTTAGATTATATTTTTTTCTCCCCTTCCCGTTGCGCGTGTACAGAGTCGCTCTTTGCCTTTAGTCGAATCAACAACGCGGTAAATCAACTTCACTGTGGTCCGCGCCAATATCAACGCGAAATATTTGCTACTTTAGGAAAAGCGTTGAACCGCGCTCACCCCCTTGTCCCCCTCTTCTTGTTGCCTCATCAGCGCCTTCAACGGTGCCGCGGTGACCGCCCCGGCCAAGTCTTCCTCGGCCATGAAGATGTCGTTCGAGTCCGAGCTCGGCGCGCAGCCCCCCCTCGGCTTCTTTGACCCCCTTGGCCTCCTCATCGACCAGGTTCGTGTCCCCTTCTCTGCCGTTGCTTGCGTTTATTCAATAGTTCTATCGATCGTTATACGGGTCCAGGCAACGTTTGATGGATCCGGGGGCGCATGCCACCAGTTGAACGAGCGTTTGATTGTCGAACGGTGTTCCCGCATTTACCACCTTGTTGCCAGTCTTAAGTAATAGGTGCCGGCGGATCAGAGCATTTGGAGGTAGATTCCCCTCCGTGTTCAGAACGCCCGTGAGCTGCAATGTCCTGGAGATCGCGGATGCATTCAAACAGAATCAAAAGTGTTTCGAGAGACAACCGCCACCACACCACCGTTCAGAAAGAGAAACGATGTCGTAATCTGTGCCAGTTCGGGTGCCAAAAAGGAAACTTGCGGCGCCATGTGTACGCTCACTCCGGACCTGAAACTCTCAACCATGGTGAACAAGATTTTCGGAATTGATCGGCGTTTTTGTATGTTCATCAACGCTTGATGTTGTTTTCGCGGCAAGCCTTCGCATGGTCCTTCGTGCTTTTGGCATGGAGCGCACTTTTCTTTTTTTGTTTACTCTCGGTTGTGTCTGTTATTTTCGCGGCAACTGGAGATCAGACTAGCGGTGAACCGAGCGGTCCCAATTGTCCGAGTTGTTGGGAAGTCTCTTTTGTACGTCTTCTTTGTCTTTCTGAGATCGAGATGATGAGGTGCTGCAGGAACGCTCTTCATTTTTGACATTTTTGATGTGGTGGTCCCGGCTTGCTTCGTTGCTTCTTGTCGCTACCAACCGCAGGGAGGGGTCGTTGTTCACTAGATGCCCATTGGGCTCTTGTAATCATGTGCACATCTTATTGGCCAGGCCCGAGTATTGTACAACGCGCTTGTTTTTGTCACCTTCACGACCGCTTACCTATTTTTTTTCGTCGTTTTTCTTTACGGCTGCTTGGGTCGGTCCTCTCTCTCTTTTTGTCACAGGACCAGGAGCGCTTCGACCGCCTCCGGTACGTGGAGGTGAAGCACGGCCGCATTTCGATGCTCGCGGTGGCCGGCCACCTGGTGGCGCAGAACTACAGATTCCCGGGGTACCTGTCGTACGACGCGAAGCTCACCTTCGCGGACATGCCGAACGGCGTGGCGGCTATCTCCAAGATCCCGCCGCTCGGGCTCGCCCAGATCGTTGCCTTCATCGGCTTCCTGGAGCTGAACGTGATGAAGAACGTGGAGGGCTCCTTCCCCGGTGACATGACCATCGGCGGCAACCCATTCGGGGCTCAGTGGGACAAGATGTCCGAGGAGACTAAGCTCTCCAAGCGCGCGATCGAGCTCAACAACGGCCGCGCCGCACAGATGGGTATCCTCGCCATGATGATCCACGAAGAGATCTCCAACCAGCCCTACATCATCAACGACCTCCTCAACGCGCCCTACACCTTCAACTAAGCGCTTTTGGGGGGCTTCCGTTGTTTTTTGTTAGCACTCACTCCTCTCTGGCCATGTGGGAGCTTTAGTAGAACTTTTTACGGGGCGCGGGATTTGAGTCTGGAGGTTGTGTCGACCAATAAGTGATGTTTTGTGGTCGCGCTCTTGGACAGCCAGCGTGCCTGCCATGCTACGTCGTTGGCAATAACGCGAATGCGTCCGCATTGTGGCTTCCGATTCTGGAACTAAGCAACCAGCAACTATATACCGGTTGGCGTCGCGGAAGGTCAAAAGCTTCGTCGTTGTTGGCTATTAGCGTGGAGTGTGGTTTAGGCGGAAATTATTTCGAGTTCACCTGTTTTTAGATTAGCGCACAACAGTGTGCAAGGAGAAAGAACGTCTTAAGTGGTGGCACAATTTGCCGTGTTGTCTGTCGCCATGTGGTTTTCGTCGAAGCCTAAAAAAAAAAAAGTTGAACATGCATGAACCGCGATGTGGTTTGGAAGGTTGTGTTGTTACCTCCGCCTTAACCGGCTCTGCACCCGATCCTTGCTAGCGAACACGTGTGTTGTCGCACGTATTGAACCAACTGCGCCTACCGAATAGAGGCCGGTGTTGCTAGATGACCCTGGCGGTTTATGCTCGGCATGCACCAGAAAGCCCTGCGGTCATGTTGCTACAAACATTTCACGCCAAAGACACAAACGCTGATTTTGTCCTGAGTTTGGCGTGGGCGCCCTCCTGGAATTTCGAGGTTCGGTTAAGCGCCAGAGAACCTCTCTGGAAGACCGTCATCGTCGCAAAAGCGGTACAATCTCGAACACGGCGTCTAAATAGGCGTGGTGTCTCGATCATCGGCATCTAGGGTTCCCCCCCACCAGTTAAACGGCGTTTCAACGAGTACTTTTTCCCTGGTATTCCTCTCGAGCGTGTCTGCATGTTGCAACAGCCTTCCTTTCTAAAAACGCTGGTCTCAACCTGATCTCGACTACATATATGTACATCGAGCTCCGCCCTCACAGCCAGTGTTTTGTTGTCATCTCCCTTCACTTGGCACATGATTTGACATTTTCTGAAATTATGCGGCCATACGGGAGTGTTTCGAGTGTCCTCTACCTTCGGCCATGCATGTCAAGGTTCCACCCCCAGCCTTCCCACAGACCATGGATTTTACTGCTGGTGTTGGGTTGGGCCAACACACACGACAGCAACTGGCTGGTTCGCACCGTCGACCACGAAAAAAACGTTTCCAACACGCTCATCCATGCTTGTGGCGTTTGCCGTGTCCAACTTTTCGGCGGCCATTTATGTGCGGGGGCGGATGAACGGCGTGAATGCAGCAGGCGTTGAGATAGTGTCCAGCGCCTGGGAGATGGAAGGTCTTGCGCGTTGAACTTAATCGTGTTTGCAATTCGAGTGATTGCTGCTGCTGTGTCAAAGGACACAGATGAAACACAAGACTTTTGAATGAAAGCGTTGTTGTTGATGGTGCTGGTAAAAACTCCGAACACCAGGTTCGATTTGGAGGGTTTGCTGATGAGGAGTGTGTGGGATCACGTTAACGAGCACGGAAAAAGCCAAGGCATCCTCCTGACCTCGGCGAAAAACACACTACTGGGACTGTACAACGTGAACCTACTTCTATCATTCATTGAGAAACTGCCGACGACTTGGTTCCGAAAGCAGCAAAAATACGACAGACAGCACACGTCACCCGCCCACAGGAATATTCCTAGAACGTTCTCAAGCGCGGACAAGCCCAATCGCGAGAAGAACTGACTACTACTCTTCCCCTTGGCACACGCTACTTAGCAGCCTCTCCTGCTTGCTACATACGATGCGAGAACTGGGCCACATCGAAATTACCATATGCGAAATACGGTGACATTACACAGTGTAGATGACGCAGTACACGCCGACACCTCGACAATCTGGGAAGTCCAGGCTTCATTGAAGACCAAATAAAAAATCTACCGTAGGAACAGGTCTGTCTGTAGGTAAGAATCCTTTATGCGTGCACCAACACGTACATCTTGAGAGTCGATGTCGGGTTACCCCAAACAGAGAGCAGGAGATGAGCCTCGGGCCAAATGAGAGGCTCAGAGTGGGGGCGCGTGTACTTTACCTAAATACCTTTGCGACGATCGTTAGGGATGCACAAAACGTCCGCAGCGAGTGCGCATTTTCTCTTCCGCGCCCGTCCCAAGGCTGTTCGTTCATGGCCGACGGCGATCCATCCAGAGCGAGAAGGCCTTCAAGAATGTCCTGTAGAAAGTTATTTTTTGGTGGAAAGGCGGGATGGACAACGAGGGACAAGGGGGGTCAGCTGCGTATTACACCCCAAAATATTAGGAGGTGGGCAAGCACGAGAGAGGGTGAACATTTTCGGAGCCATGACCGACACCCTGTAGTGTAGGCGTCGGTGCGGGTAGGACACTTCCAAGTGCAACTTGATGATTGGGTGTTTTGTTGTTCTGTTCTACGGGGTTTCCTGTCACTATTTTGTACAATTATCAGATTTGGAGACGCCGTGCAAGGTGTTGGTCTGGAGTTGGTAAACCTTTGGTGGGCTAGAATGGTGACGTTTTGGGATGCGTGCGAGGATGGATGGATGTCTTCCCACCCCTCGAATCGACCGTGCTTGTAACAACGCGATACTGCTGTGGCAAAAACAGAGAAATCAGATGTACGTTCAGCGGGGGAGAGTCGAAACTACTGCTGTTTGTTGCGTTGCAAACATTTCCAGCCCACTTGTGAAATCCGCTCACAAGAAACCCCTGTCAAGAGTCTTGAAACCGTAGTCTAGTCAGAAAAAATGGCGCAAGAAAATCTGAGCTCAGCCACTTGCACAGCAAGACTTCTTACGTTCGTATCTTCGTAACGGTAGCTCAGTGATGCGGCCTGTCGAGAATAAAGGTGACACCCAGCAAGGTAAGGTTTTGAGTCTTGCTCTGAATAGGTGGTCTTCTGAGTGGGCTGGAATCGAGCCACTTCCGCACGGACGGGTGGCCAAAGGGAGGTTGAAACTAGTGCCCAACCTCCCCCGTCAGGTTGGGACATTGGAGACCGACCTTGGACAACATGCAGTCTACGCCGTCAGTCCGCCCTACCTATTGATTGTACCAACGCCGCACAAAGAATCTACGTAGGAAGAAGATGGTGAAGCAGGGAGGGTGGGACGTGGGGGAGGTTCCTGGTACACGATTGCCCCGCCCGAAGGGCGCCCCCTGACCACCGCAAGGCGTGCTGGCCGCGATCCTATACTCATTGCTGGCGAGACACTTTTTTTGTTGCAGATGATGGGTAACAAAAGCACCTTTCATCCGAACAGGGTTGGTTTTGTTTCGCGTGACGATTTCGGGCAGCAGCTTTGCCTATTGCCGGGGAACGGATTGGGTAGAACGTCGCCCGTGGCGGGTCCCCTCACCTGGCCTTACGGGAACAACGGAATATCAAATCCCACCCTAACCGGATTTGCGCACCCAGACTACGCACCCACACCAAGTGGTAGTCCGGAGAGGTCCACAGAACCCTTCGTTGGCCCTCGGTTGGATTGGGTGAAGTGATAACAAAAGACGAGACCCTCTTGCTTTTTTTTCCCGGCTGAAACTCCAGCAAGCTGAAACCTGGGTCGGAATCGCGGACTAATTGTACTATTCTTGAGCAAATGAAAAACACGTTATTTCGCACACAGAGCTGGGCGCAACCAAAGGTTTCGGCAGTAGTTCCCAAAAGTCGGCCTACTAGAAGAGCGTAATATAGCAAATCTCACTGCCGTTTGGTTGCTCTATCCATGTCGCCACACAACACGAGGGAGAGGCTTTAAACTCGCGCACCACACACAACGGGTTCCACAGCCAACCCGCGCGCCAGTTTTCCTCGTATATTGATCAACGGCAGCGCGACAAGCCGCAGCGGCAGCGGCCACCGGCCCCGCAAGGATACCAGCCGCTGCATGTGCCGCCCTTCTCAGCAATTTACAGCAGAAGTGCTACCCCCCTTTCCGCCGAGGTCCGCATAAATACATGAGGTTGCGCACGTGTAGATACATGGACACACATCACGCACCGTTTTTTTCCGTCGAGGGTTCTGCGGTGCATCTATCCGGATGACACATGTTGTCCTCTGAGTGTCAAATCTGCGTGTGCACACCCGGTTAGCGCCCCTGGTCTAAGCAGATCTACAACGACAACTCACCACCAGCTTGTTTCTGTATGTACGTACCATATAAAACGGCGGTAGATATACCTTCGGTGAAAGATGCCGAAGATCCGAAAAGCTCCTCATCATGCTGGCAAATTGTTCGGGTTATTGCGGCGCCTGCGTTTCGCGGACGGCTGCTGTCCCCCCTCCCGTTCCTCCCCTGCCCCCTCTTTCTCCTGCTCCGCCTCCTCCTCCGCCTCCTCCTCTTCGTCGTCTTCCTCGTCTTCCTCGTCTTCAGAGGACTCGTTCGAGCTATCGCTGTCGTCGGAATCCATGTCTTCTAGCCGCCTCATGAGCATGATCACCGCCGCCGCCATCGTTGTTGTGAGAACCAAGTTGTCCGTGGCTCCGACGAAAGTTGGACTATTTGGTGTGCCAACAAAGCGCGAAGTGCGTCGCGCCTAGCTTGAATGCTCTCGAGCTTCCGTTGCCGATTCATCGAGACTCGTGATACCTCGCCGCTTCCTCTGTAGCCTGTAACTTTGCCTTGTTGTGTCCTTGATGTGAATGCGCTCGAACGTTGTGCGGTGTACGCCTATTGCGCGATGTATAAATTCAAATTTGAGAACCAGTTCGCCTCACGAACCATTGAAAAACCAAAATCTGGCCAATCTGTGGGCTTCTGGGCCGCCCGCTCTTCTCTCCTCATTATTGGAGCTGCATCATAGCCCCCGTGTTCCACAACAGGGGCCAGCGGTACCAGGCCAGGCGGCCCGAAGATGGACGTCGATGATGAAGATCCGGCATGGCTCGAGGCTTGCATGGCGGTAGTCGATAGCCTGCCTGCCGCAAACCTGCAGAGCACCTCAAACCAAGGGACAGCAGCAGTATCGCCGGCGATCGCAGCAGGTTCAAACAGGAACGGCAGCCCTCGCTCCAACCACGATGGCGGCGGCAGCAGAAGCTCAACAGCAGCAGCGGCAGTGGCGCCTTCCTCTCGCGAAGCTCGATCGACTACCCACGTGGCCTCGCGTAATGCTGCCGGCGTAGCGCCCTTTGGTACTGGTGGCAGGGCTGCTGGTGCATCAACGGCAGCGGGATCTCACCGCAGCAATAGCAGCATCGCTAGCAGCGCCAGACCCGGAGCACCACCTTCGTGGGCCAACGGGGGTCGCCACCGCATGCGAGGAGTCGGCGCTCACGTGAGGGGCACTCTCTTTCACCAAGCTGTACAGCGCGCAGTAGTTTCATGAACATGCCGTAAATGATACTTCGATGTAGGATACCACACACCCTGGACCGATTTACAAAGCTCGCTTACTCCACCACCGGAAGAGGCCGCCCAAATCAAATTATACGTTTTTACGGGAAGCTCTCGATGAGACGGTTCCAACTCCGCCGTTTTTGGCACTGCCACTCTTTATTCTTCGTAGTAATCGGGCATTGAAAATAGGCCCAGGGGATGATATGTCTCATGTCCGGTATGGTATTATAGTCGCTTCGTGGAGTTAGAGTGCAGCAGTTGGTGTAGAGATTTGAAAGGTGAGTGTGCCCGCGGGATGTGTGCTCACCTATTCCCAACCTGCAAGCAGGATTCAGCCTCTTTTCGGCCAATTGGAGCAGTACTACTCACGACAATCATTTGCATCGGTCGGAGTACCCTATAACTGCATGCTTGCCGACACCTCTGGTTCGCTACAGTTCCCTCCCGATGTCCCTAGTGACCTACTTGTTCTTGTATTTCTAATGGCAGCCCGACGACGACGTGCGAGGCGCACAAGACCGAGGCGTGCCGGACAGCTTAGACCCCTGCGGGAGATGTGGAGAAGCGGTCAGGTTCATGGAGTTCGGGAACAACCAGTGAGATGCGATACTACGGCAGGAGTATCGTTTCCTTGCCCCATCGTGGACGACGTGTTGACATCTTACCCATGCGACCGATCCGTGGCACTGACGATGCCGCCGTCTATTTGCGGGAAGGAATATCATGACAATGTCGCCCTCTTGCGGTAATGATTCCTACCATCAAGACTCTGTACCTGCCCTTTTCTGCCCCAACCCTCGCTCTGCGTGTTGCTACATCCACGCACCCTCTCATCGTCGCGCCGCGGTGACCGCAGGTTTTACGGGTGCAGCAGCCACCCTCTGTGCAAGGCGACCAGAAAGAGCCGCAAGAACGGCGCCGTGGTCGAACTCATAGCAGAGGAGACGCGGCCGGATGCCGACGCCGCATCTTCATCCGGCGAAGGTCTTTCCTCGGTCTTGGAAGAGGCGGATCCGACCGGAATCAACAGGTGCTGTGGCGCCGTTCTAGTCCGCGGTCTGATCGAGACAGCTACTGTAGTGTGCCTTCCCGGCTGACTCGTTGTATCCATGGCGGGGGTTTAGAATGTGGTGCAAGGGGAATCATTTCGCCTCCCCCCGGGCCTTGAAAGTTGCCCATGTCCGTGTGGCGTGTCCTATAGCGTGCTGACCGATGCGGTGGCGGGAGGCCTCCCGTGCGCACCGCGGATCCCCTGCAAAGAGACCGATGCCATTGATGCTTCGGCGACGCTATGTCGACCCGCAAATTCGTCCTGGAACCTTTCCTTCCCATTTTTCGCCCGCGATTGGTCGACCTAACCCTTGAGGTATCGTCACGATGCCACGCCAGGCCAGAATGTTCTGCGTACCGCACAGCGGTGTTTTCAAAAGAGGCGTGATGCTGTTTCCCAACCGTGCGAGGCACTGCAGGTGCCATCTATGCGTCAAGGTACGCGGTGGGCACATCGGAGGGGCTGCGCAGGCGGCGTGGCAGTTGCTCCGTAGGAACGGCATCGTGCCGACGAGGGAACACGGGGGCGCCGCCAATGGCGGCGGAGGCGGTATCAGCAACAGCGGGACCAACGCCGGCGGTGTGAGCGGGGCGGCGACGGTGGGGACAGAAGATCTGAAGGCTGTGCTGGAGTTGGGCGCGAGGGATGCCGTTCGACGGCTGCTGAACCAGGTTAACTGTGTAGAGGCCTCCGTCGAGCGTATTGTGATAGATGGAGCGAATTGGGCTGAGTTCGCCACTTTCTGGCGGCGAAGCAGTTGCTGGAAATAGTGGCAAGGGTCGACATCTCGAAGAACTAGCTTCTTGCTGGATCGGTTTTAGGCGTGCCCCCACGGACATATCTTGTGTGTTGACCGCATCGGTGTAGACATGACGGTAAGAATCAGCGACAGGGTACGTTTCACGTCGGCTCGTTCACTTCTTCAAGACCCCGCGACCAGACTCCCCCCTGCCCAACTACTATAGCCGACAAACATGTATTGTTGCCTCAGGCGAAGATGTGCTGATACTGTAAGGATACTCGCTTTGGATGTTGAATTTTATGCCAGACGTGCATGCGGTTGCCCGTAGTCCTTTTCCCTCGGAGAGTCTAGCTTACCGCACGTGGTGCCAACCCCCGACTGATCTTCACGCCTCAGGAGAGGATGTCCTACCGAGACGTCCCTCAGACCACCTACAGCCGCCTCATGGCCTCCGAAGCGGGAAAGAAGCCGCCGTCCCCTTCTCAGGCGAGGTCGGGCAAGGGCTGGGCGAGCAAGGACGCGGCGGGTCGCCTCGAGCCGCGAGAGCCCTGTGAGGTGCTGCTGTACACCCTCCCCGCCGGGCTGAGAGAGACCCTGCTGCCCTTCCAGCGAGACGGCGTGCTGTACGGCCTGAGGAGGAGAGGGCGGTGCCTCATCGCGGACGAGATGGGCACCGGGAAGGTGCTGTTGGTTTGTGTGGCGGTTTCACACTTTCGGTGTTCTGCGGCTGCCCCTTTTACTTTTGCTACGTTTGAAAGAAGCGTCATGGCAGACGAGATGGGCACTAGGAAGGTCCGGTGGTTGCTCTTCGCTTTGGTGATCTGCCGCTGCCTCTTTTTTTGTTTTTTCTTTTGATACGTTTTAAACCCAAGCTTCCTCATGGCAGATGAGAGGGGCACAGGAAAGGTGCGGCGGATGCTTTGCGCTTTGGTGTTCCATCGCTGCCCTTTTTTTCGTTTTTTTTCTTTTGCTACGTTTGAAACCCAAGCTGCCTCATGGCAGACGAGATGGGCACCGGGAAGGTGCGGTGGTTGCTTTGCGCTTTGGTGATCCGCCGCTGCCCCCTTTTCTTTTTTTCTTCTTTTGCTACGTTTGAAACCCCAAGCTGCCTCATGGCAGACGAGATGGGCACAGGGAAGGTGCGGTGGTTGCTTTGCGCTTTGGTGATCCGCCGCTGCCATTTTTTCGTTTTTTTTCTTTTTCTTCGTTTTAAACCCAAAGTGCCTCATGGCAGACGGGATGGGCACCAGGAAGGTGCGGTGGTTTATTGGCGCTTTGGTGATCCGCCGCTGCCATTTTTCTTTCTTTTTTTCATTTGCGACGTTTGAAACCCAAGCTGCCTCATGGCTGACGAGAGGGGCACATGGAAGGTGCGGTGGTTGCCGCCGCTGCCCCTTTTTCTTTTTTTGTTCTTTTGCTGTGTTTGAAACCCCAAGCTGCCTCGTGGCAGACGAGATGAGCACAGGGAACGTGCGGTGGTTGCTTTGCGCTTTGGTGGTCCGCCGCTGCCCTTTTTTCTTCTTTTGCTGTGTTTGAAACCCAGCCGAGCCGAGAATAACCCTGAGGTACATGTCACTTCTGAGCCGTAGAACACATCGCCTTGGTTGCACTTGACTTTCTTCCGCTCGACGTTCGTGCTCGGTTGCTGTACGGTGGTACGTGTGCGCGCAGACTCTGCAAGCGTTGGGCGTGATGGGCTGCTACAGGGAGGACTGGCCTTTGCTCATCGTGGCCCCTGCCAGCATGCGCCTCATGTAAGTTGCAAGTTCCGCCCTTCTGCGAAATATGTGTTTTCGTTTCCCGTCTGTAACCCAAGTGCGAGGTTACGGGTTGTATACCGTGCTGCTTCTCAAATGTTTGCGCAGAGGCAAAGGCCACTGTTCAATACGTTGCCGCCGCATGTTCCGCGCGGTCACTCTGCATGGATATAAGCTTGCGGCTGCTGCGTATTGCGCCCCATTGACAACCAAGCTTGTTGTGTTTTAGCCAACTAGTGTGGGGACGGGCGTTGTTGTCATGCGCCGTGCTTCAATTTTGTTTTTCTCGTTGTTTCGCTTCTTTTTTTTTTTTTTTTTGTGGTTTCTGCGGTCCCTCAGGTGGGCTGAGGAGGTGGAGCGGTGGTACCCCTTTCTAGCCCCATCCGAGATTCATCTCATCAAGGGAAACAAGGACAAGCTCTACCTCACCAATGTCAGCAGGTGACCGGGTCTACTTTCCTCGTCAACGATTGCATTCATCCAAGACGCACTCGAAGACTCGGCAAAGCGTTAGAACCTGCCTTTATTACGTTTACGGCAAGAATCTGTCTGACCTCACTCTAATTCCCTCTCGTCCTTTGCCCTTCATGGCACATAAGTGGGTTTCGTGTACAGTCATGGTCCCGGTTAAGGGCTCAATAGTGTTACGAAATTTTGTTACCGCTATTCACGGCATCCCGCTAAACAGGGAACCGCTAAACCGGGACCACAACTGTAGTCACTTTCCAGTCGACCCCAAAATGTGACACACGTTGTTGAAGGGACAGCATTTCGTTCTTGTTCCCTTCGTTCAAAGCAGCAAGACTTGTACTACTGCTGTTGTTGTGCCCCTTGTTCTCTCTCCCCTCCTGGCCAGGCACCTGTGGCCACGCGTCGTGGTGGTGTCGTACTTCATGCTGAGGATGCTGTCCGCCAGCGTTGGGAAGGGGGATTGGAAGGCGGTACGACTGATTCGCACGTGAACGGGATTGAGTTTTTTACAATCGAGTGTGATCCAATTAAACCTGTTCGTCAGTACTTCTTAGCAGAAAAGAGTGCTTCGTGGGTTGTACATTGTATATGACCTCGAGATGGGAGCGGGTGGTCTGTTGCGAAACCCTAGCGCAAGGGACGAGCTCGGGCAGGGGCGTTGATGCAACTCCCAAACGCACGGAATCATTTGACTGTCACACCATTCCCGACGTGGATCCGCCAGTGCGTCGCGGTGGTACCGATAACGACGATGTCGACGACGATCCACACGGCAAATAATCACTCACCGCCAACAAATGTGCACTCTCCGCCGCGAGAAAGCAGCACCATCGAGCTGCAATTGTTTTCGGACCGCTGCTTAGTGCCGGTCAAGATAATACAACACTATTGTTGATAACGGCGGTTGTTGACTGGATTGATACGTGTGACGTGTGCCATGCCGTTGCCTTGCTCCGGCCCGGGTTTCGTGGCACCCTGTACGGCGCGTGTATCGGTGGGCCAACCGGACCGTGGGCCGATGGGTCGTGCGCAGGTGATCTTCGACGAGAGCCACATGATCTCCACCAGCGTGAGTGTGCCGTACGGTGCTGTGCAGTCGCGACCATGTCCCCATGCATAACAGGAGAATTTTGCAGCCTTGTTTGTGGTCGGTTCTGTGCATCCACGACCCCTTCGTGTCCCATGCGCAACAGGAATATTTTTGCAGATTTGTTGCCGTCGGCGGTGTGCAGCCATGACCCCATGCTCCCACGAGCATAATAAGCGGACTCTTTTGCGGGTCTTTGTTGTGGGTCAGCCAAACGCTCACCTGTTTTTCGCTGTAGTTGTGCCGAAGGTGCAGCACAGGTCTTCGTGAGCGTACAACCTGAGGCCACCCTCTGCAGCGCTGATCGTTGCACAATTCCGGGCAAAAAAGCAGATCGAAGGCAAAATAGGAGAGTATCGCCAAGCGGCGACTTAGTTGATACAGACTGCCAGTGAGCACGTGGGCTGGACTCCAAAGGGAAGATGGGTGTATTTATCGAGTTAGGCGAGACCTCGGCAGTTTTGGCTCTTACTAAATATGTTCTCTGCTACCTTGTACTTCTATGCTTCTGCTGCTGATGCCCGATTTTGTCGATGCATGTAGTCACTCTTTTACCTGTGTACGCCAAGACCCCAATGAACCGTTAGCCAGCACACACGAGGGGTTGATCTTTCCTAGTACCAGTACAAGTGTTCCTGTCATCCTCGCGCGTAAACAGTGTAAGCCCCTCTGCCAAACACTACGCCCATGCGACTAACGCGTGCGAGTGACAGGCGGGCGTTTCAAGAGACGTTTTCGCCACGCGTGTGCTTTTGTTTTTCCGCTCTAGCTCGGCGGCGAGAGCGCGCAGTCGCAGCAGGTGACGGTGTGCAGGCAAGTGGCCGGAAGGGCTAAGAGGGTGGTCATGCTCTCCGGAACTCCTTCTCTATCCAAGCCCTTCGACCTCTTCAACCAGGCAAGCGGAATAACTTTGCTTTGTCTAAGCGAGAGCACCAGATTTTTTGTTCCCTCCCCACCCAACAACAGCAAGAAAAACAGCAAGAAATAACAACGAAGAGCACGAACGGATAGCACAGCTAGTGTTGCGATCGTGGTGTGGCGGGTGGGAAAATGCTTGACAAAAATGGGCGGTGTGTTCTTTGCGACCCGCCGTTCTACGTAGATATCCCTCTGAAGCAGCACCTCTACATTCGGGCGGGCGAGGAGGCGGGTTGGTTCAGCCTCCATGGAGGGGCCCTGTTAGCAGTGATGTACCAACTTGAGATATGATGAGGCAAGATACTAGCGGTATCAGTTGTTGTGTGCTCTCTCTGACGACGCCATGGGACTAGAAGGCACGAAAGAAAGCCTCGACCGTTTTCACGCGCGAGAACGGACGAGGCTACCACACCAACTCTACTGTGTCTGTGGGTGGACACGTGCCGCTACCCGCATGCGCGTGAACCGCTGGGTTGGCGTGCGGGACGCCGCTCCCGTACCGTGATTTGTTCCTCCGGCTTTTACCAGCAAGAAAACCCAGGTCTTGAATGTTGAACTACGGGATCTTGGAGGGCTATATAAGGTAGTCCTCGCGCCTTGGAGCTTGAACTCAGAGCTGTAAAGCGAATATCATAAATAATGACTACGCCGAAAGGGCTACATATTCTATCTCCAGCTCTCCTCTTTGAGCGCAAGCAACACGGTTCAGATACTATTCACTTGCCTGGTGGTGGCGGCGGCGGCGGCGGCTGCGGTGCGTGTGGTCATTTAATGATGTGGCGTCCCCTACTTTTTTTTTTGGTGACTTGAAACTGAAACTGAAGGTTGAGGCGCTTTCCCCGGGGCTGCTGGGCCGTGCACCCCTGCTCAAGGCAAAGCAAGGCTTCGCGGCCAGCTACTGCGGGGGAACCATGTGAGCGAAGAACGCAATGATACGAAAAGGAATTATTCGTTTTTTTTTCGCTTTGGTACTTTCTTGGGGTCGATTTCTGTTTCCGTTGTAAGCCACAATTTTCGTAAGGAAAAGTGAGACTCTGTAGCATGTACCCAGGAGGCTTGCGCGTTGCACGAGATCTCCCGGCGATACATGCTTGCCCTCCTGTCGCCTGTGAAATTTAGAAGGCGCTGCGCTGCTACCGTGGGCCAACAGGATGGTTGTTACATACCTTATTTTCATTCCAGTGACACGTTTTTTGGTGGTACCGTAGGGAGCGGGCATCTGCGACGGCGTGAGCCGCGTGCCGTGCCCAGGAGAACAGCTTCGGCCGTTATCCCATACATCATAACCATCTCGTCGCCTTTGCCGTTAAATGTGTTCTCCTACGCTGTCCTTTGAGACAACCTTTGTGCGGATCAGAGACAATCTTTGTGCAGATCAGTCTCAAGAGAGCAGACCCGCAACCTAAAACTGCAGGCACGGATAACAACGCGCAAGTTTGCTGCATGCACAGAGACTCGCTGCTTCTCCCGTTTATGCTCCTCTTCAACGACGTCCTTTTTTTTTTTTTGCGTGTGGTGGTATCCCTTTTGGAGGGCAGGAGGGGGCAGATGTCGAGGGGCGGGCACGTGAACCGCGTGCCGTTCATCAGCGGCAGCGAGTATCCCGACGAGCTGCACCTGCTGCTGAGGAACGAGGTCATGATCAGGCGGCTCAAGGCCAACGTCGTGAACCAGCTCCCTCCTCTCAGGCAAGCCAGTTTTTTTCTTTTTTTTCTCTCTTAACGCGTCGTTTTGTTTTCTTCGTTCTCGTTTTTGAAGGCTCCATGGCCTGTTGTTCTCAAGGCCATCGTCGAAAGCGGCTCCTTCCTCTCAGGCAAGCAAGGTTTTTGTTTTTTGTTCTTCTCTTAGCGCGTCGTTTTGTTTTCTTCGTTCTCGTTTTCAAGGCTCCAAAACCTGTTGTGCTTAAAGCCATCGTCGAAAGCGGCTCCTTCCTCTCGGGCTACTGGCGTGCCGCTCCGGATGTAGTACGCGGTCCTGATCACGCCGCGACCATTGCTTTGCTATTATTACACCTGCCTTGATTTGTCACCATTTCCGCCACGTTGTGTCTTTAAAACTCTCAGAAGGATCGTGGTCCGAGTGGGAGAGAGCGGGGAGGCTCTGAAACGGGCGCTGAAAGAAGGTGCGTATATCTTACTCTTTTTTGAGAACCAGAAACTGGTACCAATTCGCACTCGGTGCCGGCTTCACTTTCGTAACACTTGGTATTCTGCTCTGCTACTTGTTCGGTAAGCACAGCAGTATTTCTTGTCTTTTTCCACCGCAAGGGCGCATGCACTCGTCCCTCTAGGTCACGTTCACTGCTATGCTCCAACCCCTGAGGTAAGTTTCGTCCGTTCGTGTGAGAACACCGTCAGCTCCACCCTCCTGCTTGCGTGTATGTGTGGCGTGTGTCATGACATTTTGTAGCGTAGGGATGCATGCCATCGTCATGTTCCGGGAAACCCTGTCGCAAATGCCTGTGTCTATTCGGATTCGCCCACGATCGCCAGGAATGACATCGACAAATCGGTCGCAAATTGCGTGTGTCTGTTCGGATCATGATTACCGTTGCGAAGATCCAATGCCCTCGATACCTATCTTGCAAATTGCTATCTTATCAATCTAGGCGGTTTCGAGGCCGATGCGGAAGTCGATGACGAGGAGGACGGCCAAAGGGGCGCCGCAGGAAGAGATGAGCGAGGCCCTGGTACCGGTGCTGGTCTAATGAGCAAGGACCACCGGGCGGGACTGAAGAAGGTACGGTGGTCGTCTGTATCCTTGCCGACTAAAAAGGGTATAGAGGTAATGAGACACACGCTCAGCCCGATAAATTCCAACACACGAGCATGCATGGTACATTGCACAAGATGCCGTTTTCCACACTCACAAAGGTCAATTAATTATTAAGGCCGTTTACCAGGTAACTTCCGTCCAAGCGGTGCCACGCTCATAAGCACCAAGCATGTTTGCGTTGCCATCGGTGCGTCGTTGCAGTTTCTTTCATCTCCCGGGCGATCCAACACGTTTTGGGTTGCTGCCTCAAAAGGCGCCGACTAGAATGCTCGCCGTGTACGACCCCAGCCAGCAGGCTTTTTTTTATGGAAGGTGTTGCCGATGGCAAATTGCGTGTTCATGGATGGTGACGTTCGTACCCGAGTCGGCGTTGTGGTTCTCAGGTTTTGGCACTAGAACTTACGCGTACAGTGACCTTTTCCTTGCGGTTATGGGAATATTCGTGTTGCGGTTCGGTACGTCTTTATTGGGTGGAGGTTCTTATCGCTAGTCTCACCGTAGTCACCGTTAATGACGTTGGAGTTGGTGGTTTCGTACGCCAATAGTGGTTGTCATCATAAACCAGTAGCGGTCGAGATTCGCGTGCGATTTTTGGTGTACGGTGTGTTGAAGAACTTCTTGGCCTCTCAACCTGGCATATCCTTGGGATGCCTCTCTCTAGTTTCACCTGCTGCTGCGAAGCTCTCCTGTTCTACACTGTCCAGCGTGTCCTCTCCTTGCAGGTGAACTCTCTAAGTAAACTTGCTCACAGTTCTTCCCTGCCGTCTGTCTGTCCCGCAGGTGAAGTCGGCGTCAGAGTGGGTGATCGAGAAGCTCATCGCGTCCGAGGAGACCCTGACCAAGTTCGTCGTCTTTGCCCACCACAAGACCGTCTTGGACAGGCTTCAAGAGGCGAGTTTAGTGTGCTATTATTATAGTGCCAGTCGCAACTGCTGTCCATTGGTACCGGTACCGGTACCGGGGTTAGGGTTAGGGTTAGGGCTAAGGTTTTGTGCTTGCTCGCTGCGGGTGAAATCTATTCGGCAAGCTGTTCAGTGTTGAAACGTTGCCTCCGGTTGGTGGTCGGATTCGGCGCTCGCTCGATACATATTTATCAATGAATACACGGCTGTAAAGACTGACCGTCCGAGATAGCACTCCAACCGTGTGTTGCAGTCTTTGCAGGGAACCCTGCTGCACACTGGACTTATTCGTAGTCTGTTGACGCCTATTGACTAAAGGATTAGTGATGTCAGCCGGCACAGAACCACTCACAGTACATACATTTTTTTTTTTTCATGCAGGCGTTCGAGGTGCAAGGCACGCGGGGGAACACGTGCCCCTTCACACCGCGTGCGGCGAACGACTCCGACGACGCGTCTGTGGGAGCGTTTACTTGTCTCCGCATCGACGGGTCGGTGCCCACGGCCTTGAGGTACGCCGTTGCCCCGCGCCCGGTGCGGCGTAACTGCTGCGACTGCTGTTGCCTCGGCTACCTTTCGTGTGCGTGTTCGTTCGGTCTATTGTGGAGCCAGTCTGCGTATCTTTCGGTGTACAGTTCTGACTTGTCAACGGGGATCACACAAGAGGAAGGCCCCGCAAGGATGTTTTTTTTGTACCCCACCTTTTCTCTACCACTTTGGGGAGGAGATATCCGATTGCAAACTCTCCAGGGTGTCCACATCGACGTTGGCTTTTGCCTTGGCTTTGGGGTTGATACGCCGGGTGCGTAGGTGTTTGTTTGCTGTATGACCATGCGGCGGAGGGTTTCAAGTCGTGCATGAGGGGTTTTCAGCGTCTTTTTGAAGCGTGTTGCGCGTGTTCGCCGTCATTTCAAGCACTTTCATACACGCCACCCCCATCTTCGTTTTAGTGTTCGAGGAGGCCGTATCAGCGCAGGGTTTAGGTGCGCATATCTAAACGCGCCGCCGTAGTTGGGCTGCCATCACCCTGCCTGGCCCGAGGAGCAGCCTCCAGGAAGGTCCTGTTGCCCTTGTCTGCGTTGCTTCACAACGCCTTTCTTTATTTTGTGACATGTGCGTTCCACACTCCTCTCACGAAGGACGGGATTGTTGAAGACGTAGACAACACACACCGAGATTTGTTGAAACCAACAGGCGCTCCACACCCACACACCCCTCACCGAGCATATTTATCTAGCACAAACCGAGTTTTTTTTAAACAAAGGCGCGCCACACTCTCCCGCACTTTTTATTTGTTTTTGATGTCTCAGGGCCTCGAGGCTGTCGGAGTTCAACACCAACGAGCGCTGCCGCGTGCTCGTCGTTTCCATCACGGCCGGGGGGCAGGGGCTGGACTTCACCGCCGCCAGCAACGTGGTCTTCGTCGAGCTCCCCGAGAGCCCGGCGTGGCTGAGGCAGGCGGAGGACAGGCTCCACCGTCGGAGACAGGTCCGGATCTCAACCCCACTCCACCTGTACCCTGTCGGGGATGTTTTTTGGGGGGATGTGTCTCGGGCATGCATGTGCTGAACCATGTACTTATTGCTGAGATCAATCCCCTACTCGGCGCCAACTCCATCTTTACGCACGCGGCCTGTTGGTTGTTTGTGGGGGCGTGTATGTAGCATCCAGTCTGTACCCACACATGGATGTGCTGAACCATTTACTTGTAGCTGAGGTCCGCCGCTCAATCCCCTACACGACGCCAACTCCATCTGTGCACACGCGGCCTGTTGGTGTATTCGTGGGGGCGTGTGTGTAGCAGCCAGTCTGTCCCCACGCATGCATGTGCTGAACCATGTACTTGTAGCTGAGGTTCGCCGCTCAATACTTGATACCTGCACGACACCGTTCACAACTCCATCTGTGCACACGCGGCGGCCTGTTGATTTTGTGGGGCATGTAATAGCAGCCGGTATGTCTCTCGCGCGTGGGTGTGCTTTAACCACGTAGCTGAGGCGTCACGGCCAAGGCAGACCTGCTGATCAGCCCGCACAACCACTGCACTCCATTTGTACACGGCCTGTTGTTTTTTGGGGCATGTAGCAGCCAGTCTGTCTCAAGCGTGTGTGTGCTGCACCAGTTGAAGCTTCACTGCGAACGTAGATCCTCTGCACTTTTGGGGCATGTAGCGGTGAGTCTCACGCGGGTTTGTGCTGCTCCATGCGGCTGAAGATGCCAACACAGGTCCGCTGCTTAAATCGCACGCCTCCGCACTCCATTACCCTCACGGGTTGTTGTGTTGGGGCACTTAGCAGCCAGTCCCACGCGTGTTTGTGCTGTGCAAGCTGAGGAGGGTAGTCGTGTGCCGCAGGGCGAGCGTGCTGTCTGCCTTGTGAGTCTTCTCCCCTTGCTGCGGCTTGACCGTTGGTTGTGCTGCAGGAGCGTGCCGTGAGATTGTTTGCCTTACGGTGCCGCTCTTTGTTGGTGTTGGGTGTGCCGGTCGTGTTGCCTTGCCTGCTGCTCTCTCGAGGTGTTTCTCTTGGTACGGTTGTGCATCAACTAATAGGTTTTGTAATTGCTCCAGGCTCGTGTCGATGGGCGTTCCCCTTGATGAAACGCCGAATCGAAACTGGTTACCACCCCCCCCGGTTTACTTTGGTTCAGTCTGTCTGGCCTAGTGTTGCTTGAGGAGGGCGGGTGACCAACGGCCTGGCGACTGCTACCAGCATGTTCATGCCGACAAGTGGTGTAGGTTTGCTTGCGCTTGGTGTAAGGGGGTCGATGCAAAAGCGTCGATGGATTTCCGGTAGGATGCCTCGAACGTGTTTTTCGACCCTTGCCTTGCGCTGCGCAGGAGAAGAGCGTGAACGTGTACCTGACAGTACTGCCGACCGGAAGCCACGACGACACTAGATGGCTTAGCCTCAGCGAGTGAGTGAGGGACCTTCCTGTTGCTTACACTGGGTTTGTAGGTGTCAGCCTTTTTTTGTTTGGGGGGGGGGAGGCGGGAGGGGTGCCAGCTGACGAAGTGGCACGGCAGTGGCATGGACGGGAGACGGGGAAGATTATATTTTATGACTCTTTTTCCCACCCAAAAAAGACAAGAAAAAAAAGTCTCGAAAAAGGGGCTGGAGAGGGGATGGGACGTACCCCTCCCCGCCCTTGTCGTTTTCTTTGGGTGTTTTTTCTTCCTAGCTCCTCTCTATTAGTGTAAATTCGTGGTCTGTAGTGGTAGTTGCGAGAGTGATGCGGAAAAAGCTTTACTAATTGTGATAAAGTTTGTTCTATTTTGTTTTTTTCCAGGAAGCTGACGACCCAGACGTCCGTGATGAACGGAACGCTGTACGCCGAGAACATCGACGTCGACAGAGTGGTCGACGCGGGCAGTACCCTGGATCACGACGGCCCGACGCGCCGGCCAAGCAGGTGACGATCGGCACTAAAATGTCTCGATGCGGTGCTTGCTTCGTGGCGGTGGGGGGGGGGGGGGGGGTGTAACCCGCTCAAGGCCTCGGGTCGTGTTCCTTGCCCCGTTGGTGGCTTGTGCTGTCAGAAGCTAGCTCTACGCTGCTCTCGCTTCACGTTTATACGACGAGGTGATAAAGAAGAAAAAATATCCCAAGCATACCACTCTTGTCCGTTTCGAAATATTGGGGCGATTGGGACGTGCGCATTTGTATCCGAATAGTCCTTATATTGTACAGAGTCGTATGCATATGATCGTGTAATTAATTGTATGTCGCACGTCATGGCGTTACGTTTCCTCTTTTCCTGCAGGCGTCGAGGCCGTCGTGCACCGAGCTCCTTGCCAACAAACGATTCGACCGCCGGCGGCGACGAGGATGCCGTGGGAGACGGCGGCTGTACCGGCAGCCTTGATAACGACGACGACGCCCCCGCTTCTTGCATCGAGCTTTCTGGCTCTGACGATGGTAGCGAAGATGATGATCACGATGATGGTGGGCTGGCGGAGGAGACGGAGACGGACTTGGACGCCGAGCTGAGGAACGCGCTGCTGTCGACGCCGTTGGACGTCCCGACCCACCGGCCATCTCAATGTGAGGCGATGGGGCTGCAATTTTGCAGGACGTCTGGCGGTTCGGGTTGCTCGGTCGTCTGTTGTTGTTACTGCTGCTGCTGCTGCTGCTGTTGTTGCTGCCCCTTTGTTGTTGTTGATGGTAATGGTGGTGGTCGTGGTCCTGCTGCTGGTTTGCTGTTGCTACTGCTGCTGCTTTTGTTGTGGCTGCTGTTCGTTGGTATGTTTTTGCTATTTCCAAAAGTGTTGCCGATTTTCGTAGGGCGAAGCCACCGTACAGTCCGGAAAAACGTACTCTGTGCACCGGCATCTTGTCTTGTCTCAACTTGTTTCGACATGGCTGATTTGCAAGACCAACATCCACCAGCTATCATACCTCTCGTGCCCCCCCCCCCCCCCAAAGGGAAAAAAAGAAGAACGCGAAAATTTTCCCCATATTCCGCGCCCAAATTTTCACTGCTCCCGGGGAATCCAAAAAACCCGGGGGGGCCCCCCTCCCGGAACACGCCCCCCAAACCCAAAAAAATTTTTCGCCCGGGCACAACCCACAACAACCCCCAAGGGAAAAAAAAAAAGTCCTCCAATTTCCCCGGGGCACCCCGTGAACAAAGGTTTGCCAAAATGCTGGGAACCCAAGAAGGGAAAACTTAAAATCCCAAAACAAGTGGGGGGGAAGGGGTGGGCCAAGGCGCTCCTAAAAAA